TATCAAGACTATAAAAATAATTTAAGGGGCATATGGCACACTATTAAGGGTCCAAATATCTATCTGATCGGCATAACTGAAGAAAATCAAGATGTCGAACAGCTGTTTGAAGAAATAAGGATAGAAAACTTTCCTCACCTGGTGAAGGAAATGGATATTAAACCTCAAGAAGCTCAGAGAATTCCAAAAATCAGAGATCCAAAGAGGCCCACACCAAGACACATCATAATTAAAATAGGTTTTTAAGGTTAAATACAAAGAAATAATATTAAAAGCAGCAAGAGAAAAACAGATAGTTACTTATAAGGGCACACCAATAATACTGGCAGCTGATTTCTCAAAAGAAACTATGCAGGACAGAAGGGCTTGGCAAAAAAATATTCGATAGGGTGAAGACCCAGGATCTAGAACCAAGAATAATTTATCCAGCAAAGCTATCATTTAGAGTTGAAGGACAGATAAAGAGCTTCCCAGACAAAAATAAGCTAAAGGAATTTATTACCACCAAGCCAGTATTACAGGAAATGTTGGAGGGACTTCTTTAAGAAGAAAAAACATGTATCAAAAACAGGAATAAAGAATGATAACTACATTCCTATCAATAAGTACCTTAATGGAAAAGAATTAAGTGCTCCAACCAGAAGAGAGTTTTCTAATCCTATCCAACCTGAAAGGATAAGAAAACAAGACCCCTACATATGAAAAGGAAGGGGATAGAAAAAGATATTGCTTTGCTGGACCTAGAAGGTATTTAAGTCAGACAGAGAAAGATAAACACTATAATTTCATTTATATGCAGAATCTAAGGAATAAAAAGAACAAACTAAGCAAAAACAGACTCACAAATATAGTGGACAATTTTGTGATGGACAGAGGGTTGGGGAGTTTGGGGGGCTGGGAGAATGGGGTGAAGAATCAAAGAAGTAGCTGATGGATAGACAGGGGGATGGGAAGCACAGCATAGGGAATGCAATTAGAATGAATACATTGGCTAGGTGGAGGGTCAGGGGAGGGAGGGAGCAATTGGGGAGGGACCATTTTATGAACTATATATAGATGTCTAACCAATGTACTGTATGCTTGAAACTAATTTAAAAAAAATTATTTAGGTATTCAGTTTCAGTTCAGGGTGACTGACTCCATTTTTAACATGATGTTTTTCCTGCACAAAGTTGTTTATTATAATGAGAAATAGTCTCCAGTCAGTTTGATGCTGTTGAAAAGGACTTGTGCTCAGGATGGCAGTGTTAATCCCCAGAGCTGCCAATGTAGTCTGAAAGTAGGGACAAAAGGATTTAGAGATGGGAGCAGTGGTATAAATATTTCTGGAGCCAGCTTCTATATTGCCACAGAGCCCTGAATGAGGAAGAGCTGTTCTTTTAGAGACTTTCGTTTTGCAATTTAACACATATTTGAAATTTCTGATTTAAATTAATTCTTTTGGATAAAATATATTAAAGAGATTGAATTGCTATAGGCTAACGATAAACAACAGAGGTCACTTGATATTGAACTCCCTCTCAATCACAAGAAGTTTCAGTGTGAAATGACTAGATTAAAGGAAAAAATGAACATCTATTCAGACACTGCCTATCACATGCCAGGTAGTGGATGCTCTTCTCTCCTTTGTCTCTTTCAAGTCTTTTCAGAGGAGGAAATTGAGGTTCAGAGAGGTTAAATGACTTGCCCAGATATCACATAGCATTGAGCGAGAGCATGATTTCTTTTTGACTTCCAAAACCCACTAGACTACTAGACTTGTTCCTTCGTGGTTAGGTGGCTGATATCCTAGAAGTTTACTTTAAGAACAGATTTTTTATGGGTCTGGCTCTTTCACTCTCTCGCACATTGTCTTGGAAGATAGGATTTAATGTCTTAGTTGTTGAACTGAGAATACAAAATTTAAGGTACTAACTGTGGAACTGAGTGTGCCAGGACATTTTTCTTGACCTTTTGGGTGTCTAGTCCCTTGCCTAAAGCTCATCACAGAATTGTAGCTGCTCCTGGGAGTTTGATGTAACAGGAAGATTGTTAAATTGTTGGTTTTATTCCCACCTATACCGTATCTCAACACTAGTGTGGATGGTGTCCAGGATGTAATCCACTTAATTGACAGATTTCTCAGCCATTTTATAGCAGGTTCTCTAGTATCTTTTTCATCATGTTCATAGTCTAGAAACTTGTTTTATCTATTTAAACATGATTGTAGGAGAAGTATTTAATTACAATAAGCTTTTGACTATGCTGAAACAATCTTACCTGTACCTGAAAAGCTGGTTGAGGAGGGTTGTAAGTGGTAATGTTAGTTTTCCTGTACATCGGTTCAGACCTTTTCCTAAAGGAAGACCAAAGCTGTTTGAACTGTGACCACTCTTTAGCCTCCAAGTGTTAACAACTGTGGTTGCACAGAAGCCTGAATAGGTCCAAACCATTGACCTTGAGTTGAAGTATTTTGTAAGCTATGGCTCATCTTTTGGCTCATTCTTTCTTTCACCAGGAAATACACTGAATATTAATTTTATGAATTTCGATTATGCCTTCTGAAGAGCGATTCATTAAAATAATATCTGGGACTTGTTTTTCTGGTAACTAGCAGGACCACAAATTGGTCCGTACTCAGTGGTTGTGCCAAATCCATGTGCAAACAAAGGGAGAGATCTGATTAACTGTCTAGAGAAGGGCCATCCTTTCTGACTTCTTTCAGAAGTTCATCTCTTCCACCAGAGGAAGAAGATATGCAGGAGGGTGAATCAGAGGCTGAACATAGCAGGTGGCATGTGTGTATCTGTAAATATCACATCACTATTTACAGTACACTGGCCTCTCTTCATGCAAGACCTAGTCAGGCCAAATCAGAAGGAATTGTTCCCTTGCTTAAAGCCAAGAATAACATCCTGACCAGCAGGGGACAGAGGTCATCTCAAGGCAACAGCTCTTGGGAGCTACAGGACATTAAGAACCTTGAAGAAACTGAGTTTAATAAGAAAGAAGACAATACATACTTTAAAGCAAGTGTGTGAAACCTACATGTCTTTTTTTTCTTTTTGAAACCTATATGTCTTTATTGGGGCATGGCTTATTTATGAAAAATGAAAAATCATCATAACAATTGGATACATGATGAGTTCATATTAACCTCCTGGTCATTTAACTATATTTTCCCCTTTTGCCTGCATATTGATTTGTCTGTTTATTGTTTTTATTAGAAAAAAGGGAGAAATATGTTCTTCTAATAATCTGGAGTTTATTCTACAAGCACTTTCAGAACCACCCAAGAGAGGGATGGATTTAAAAGATGATTTAAAAAACAAATACCCTTTACAAAATCTCCTGGGAGCTTTCTGACTGGCTGAAGTTTTGTTTCTGGGATCTTTCTGTACCCACTTTTCTTTTCCCTTCAGTTTTTCCTCATTCCAATGCTGGCCACTCACCCCACAGAAGCAACTCAAACTGTTTTCTGGTGGAGCATTCTAAGTTTGTCCTGTTGTCTTCTCTGGGGCTTATTTCTTTGGTCTGACTTCAGCTGGTTCTGGGCCAAAGTGATCTTCTAAAAGCTTTTCTTCATGGCCTTTATTTCTTGGCTCTTTTTATGCACTTTGCCTGATTAGTTTTGTTGGTTCTCTACTTTTCCCATATTGTAAGTTATGTTGCCTCAGTTGGAAAGTTCTAAAGTTCAGATGTGGCCTCAGGCCCCTAGATTTTACTCTGATTTATAAAGTACCTTTTTCCTTTCCTAGAAATTGGGGGATGAATCAGGTATTCTATTGTGAGGTGTTGCTAATTCTCATGGGACTCTACTTTGCTACTTATTTAAACACATATGTAGCAATTTAGATTGTATTTGCAAATTAGGACTTGTTGGCAAGATTTGCTGTTACTTTTTTCCCCCTTGTTTTTCAATAGAAAATTTAGAGAGAGAACTACCTTGTCCATGGTCACATAGTAGGTTTTACTCCTTTTGAAGAAAACCTCATTTTTGTATTCCTTATACTTCTTAGCACAGCTTTAACAAATAGTTAATAAATACATAATAGTTTAATACATCTTAACTGTGGGTTGATTGATCATTTAAATTTTAGAATTCTCATCAAGTTGATCATATTTTGGACCAACTTGCGAGAAAGGTTGCTGGATGGAAGGAACTGAATAGCCATGCAGAAAATGTTTAGCAATTTAGAATATGTGTGCAAAAAATCGCCATGTAAATCCTATTCTTAGGAAATGGAAGGGTAGTTTTACTACAGTGGAAACTGGTTATAAATGTAAGGAGAAATAGGGTAAGAGGATAAAAGAACTTGGATTAATCAAGAGAGAGGAACAAACATACATTTTGGCAGCTCAGGATCAGACAGTGAAAATGAAAATTTCCCACCCTTCCCCCAATATTAGGCTCCTTGCTACCACCATTCCCCCACAAAACACTATCCAGAGGGACTGCTAATGACTCTCTGGGCACTAGTGTCCAGTTTTTGGACTTCCGCGTGAAGTATGAAGAAGTCTTGCGGGGTCAGTCAGCACAAAACAGTTGTCCTTTTGATTTGTTAAATTCTTCCTAATAGTTTTGCTGCTCTCAATGGTACTGCTCATTCCAAAGCCAAAATCATTTTCTGATGGCTTTGCTGTGTCCAGTTGGCTTGTGGGACCACAGCAGCAGCCGAGACTGCACCTCATGTAATAAACTTTCAGAGGGCCCATCTACATTTTTTTTTTTTTTGAACCTTAAAGACAAAAACAAAAAAACAAACTTGGGGCCAGTAGTTTGCATCTCATTTGCGAGCCTTCATTTCTTCCCTTATCTGGCCTCACTGAGTTGTACAAATTTTCACTATTTCTGGTTGCAGACATCTTTCCAACTTTTGTCTTTTCCTACTCCATGTTGTAAACTTTGGATTCAGACTTGCTTGGGGGAAAGGGTGGTATTTTTTTCTTGCTTGTTTGTTTTTTGTTTCAGTAAATATGTTCTCTACTTATCAGTTATTCTTACTTTTTTTGTCAAACAGGCCACCAGGCAGTTTCTTGAAGAGATCAACAGGTGGACAGTTCAGTACAACGTTTCCCCTCTCTCTTGGAATGTGGCTGTAAAGTTCCTCATGGCCCGGAAGTTTGATGTGCTTCGCGCCGTAGAGTTGTTCCACTCCTACAGGGTACGTAGTTTGGGGGCAGACCACACCTGTGGCAGCTGGGCTCTCTATGTTCTCTCTGCCATACTCTACACATACAGTGGTTCTGAGTGTTCTCCCCAGTCCCATACAAAAAGTAGATCAGTATTCAAGTTATGATAGGGCAGTATTGGATTCTGTGGAATCCAGTACTTTAATTAGGAAGGTCAAGGAAGCCTTCCTGAAGGAAATAACTTCTAAATTAAGAAATACTGAAATGCTGAGTGGGAGCGGGTGCATGGCAAGAGATTGAGCAGCAGAGGTAAACAAGGCCAGATAAGAGAGTTTCTATCTGCTTTTTCTTAAGGGCAGAGAAATTCATTGAAGATATAAACAGCAGAACGACTTGATCAGATATGCATTCTGGATAGATTTTTCTTACTGTACTTTAGAGAATGGATCAGAAGGGCTATAGTAGAGATAGGCCAATTAGAAGGCTCTTGTTGGGAAAGAGATGATTGTGGTGTCTTTAAGCATAGTGTCAAGGGGAGATATATAAAAAGTGGGCAGATTCTAGAAGTATAATTGCCAGGACAGGGTTGCTTAAACTGGTGTGTGAAGAAAAAAGAGCCAAAGGTTCTGGATTTCTGCCTTGAGTGGCAACGTAAATGGTAGGGTCATTCACTGACATAGGACACGCTAATGTGAGTGCAGTTATCAGTTCAGTCTGGCCATATTATGTTTGAAGTACCATTGGGGTATCTGAAATAGACATGTATTCTGAGCAGCTGGGATATGAATCTGGGATTCAGAAAATAAATCTGGGCTGTAAGTAGAGATTTTGGAGTGACCATAGTAGAGCTGAATATAGGAGCCATGAGAATGGGTGGGGTTATCTTGGGAGAGTGTGAGGAATAGGAAGACGCGTAAGGCAGAATCTCACCTCAGACTTTTTGATTTCTTCGATCTAGTATTGTTTTAAAAGTTGCATTTGAATGCTTTAGACAGTACATACACTCTCCTGTGATCCCAGCACCGACACTGTCTTTCATTTGCTACCTTACCACTAAAAGCATTTGAATTTGATTTTAGGGATGGATTGGAGAAGATTATAAACAAAGACCCGGTTTGTTTTATTCGCCAGCATTTTGCTGGCACTTAGCTTGGTGCCTGGCACATAATAGTTGCTCTACAAATACTTGCAGAATGGATGAATGAGTCAGTGAATGAATTGAGTGAGTAAATGAATTTTTAAAAGCCCACAAAAAAAGACTTGAAAGGAGTAGTTGAAGAAATAGTAAACCCAAGAGAGTATTCTTTATCAAAGATAGAGATTGTCTTAGAAAGAAGGGATTATGAATGGTCAACCTTGTCATGGATACTGGATTTAGTGACAGGGATGTCCTTCAAGTTAGATTGAGAGGAAATGAGAATGCAGTAGACCTGAGTGTATGGGAGCTAAGGATGAATTTAAAGAGTCTGCCATGCGAATTTACTTTCAAATGGATTCAGTAGAGAAGGAGAGCGGGGGAGGGAGAGAGGGGGGTGGAATAAAGAAATTTTCCAAAGTGTGAGCAATTATTATATCTAGGTTATATATCTTACAGTGTTTACTAAACTAGTCTATCATCATCTTGGTATATTTGAAAAATTTTCAGAATTAAAATATAAGGTGAAAAAAAAAAGTCTGGCCATGGAGATGAGAAAAATAATATCATAGTAGCTGTTGTTGGAGAGGATATCAAGGGGAGGGGTAGCTCCTATTTAAGATAGTAGAGGCCTAAGCTTGGAGGATGTGTGAGGATATCTGCTTTCAGACAGTTTCGCGGTGCATATTTTAATATCCCAGTACAATATCCGTGCTGCTGCATGTTTAAGAACCTTGACCCTGCATACTAATGATACTTATTGGTGGTTCTTTGGGGTTAGGATTCTAATTCAAAGCAAAATATGTTACCTAAGGTGGCATCCTGACAGGAATTCTGATAATACTCAGTCGGCCTAGAAGGAGGGTTACAAAGGAACTTATGATTCAGTCAGTTGACTTGTAAAGTCCCTTATCTCTGAAATTTGGTGGTTACATAAAGCTATCCTGGATATACAGTATTTTTATGTTAACTCATTTTGTGTGCTTTATTTTTAGGAAACACGAAGAAAGGAAGGCATTGTGAAGCTGAAACCTCACGAGGAACCTCTCCGTTCTGAGATCCTTAGTGGAAAATTCACCATCTTAGTGAGTCTTCATGGACCCCTCTTGTAGTGTCTCATTATTTCCTTTTGTAGCAGTTGTCCTGTTTGGAGTTTGTTGCTGGATACCTTATCCTGAACTAGAGAGTCTTAACAGTTGGGAGCAGATGTGAAAGCAGCTGTGTATTTTAGCATAAAATTATTCTAGTAATAATTGAAATTTTTGAGAATTAGTTGTGCAGTAGAAAAGTTTCTTCATTGGGCCATTATAATTAGTTGAGGCCCATCCTCCTTTATTGAATGCATGCTCTCTCTACTTAGAGACCCCAACCTTTCAGGTAAGTATACAATGGCTGGATTCTATGGTTTTCCCTTGCTGCTTATTTCTTTGGGCATCCTGCCTGGGAAATTAGCTAGCTAATCAGGCAATGTAGACTATCCTTTAATTTCTCTGCAATTGAACTGTTAAGATAAAGTGTTTTTTTCCTGCCACAGAAACATGGTCCAGGGGGATGCTGAGAATCAGCCATGGGATGATATAAACTTTCTTCCCTTTCTGGAGCAATTGATGCAAGTCAGAGAAATATTGCCAGTATCTGTTCTCTATGTGAAAGCTGTGTCCAGGATATAAGAAGCCTTAGTGATGACTGGGATTTTCTATTTGATTTCTAAATGTTTCTCGTTTTATTTGCTCTAGAATGTTCGAGACCCGACAGGAGCCTCCATCGCCCTCTTCACTGCCAGGTTGCATCATCCCCACAAGTCAGTCCAACATGTGGTACTTCAGGCTCTGTTTTACTTACTAGACAGAGCTGTGGATAGGTGAGCATAGAGATTATCTTCTAGCTGGTCTACATCTAGTTGGGAAAGTGATGGTCCTTGATTTGATTAAAAATAGCAGGGCCTTTACTATGCTCCTTGGATGTGCCATGGGCAGTGCTATGTATAGAAAATATTCCATGTCCTTAAGGGCTTGGCATGTTTCCAGGTGCTATCAAGATGGTGGGTGTTCTGTATCTTTACCTGCTTGGCTATTTTCAGGATAACAGAAGATGAGAAAGCCAATTAAATAGCAGACCTCAGTGTATTGAGAATTACTTAGTGAAAGAGAGTGACGGGGAGATGACATGTGCTGGTTCTTTTTGCTCATTCTTCCCTGAATGTTGATTTTCAAAACCCTCTGAGGCCCCAGTTTCTTTTTAAAATAGGAATAATAGTACAGAGAATTTTGAGAATCAACATACAGGAGAGAACAGTCCAAAAGTATAAAGTTGAGCAAAATCATCTTTATCAACAGCTGCATAAATAAAAAGGACTAGCTCCGGTCATATTTCTCCCTCTCTAAGGTAAATGATATTTTTAATGGTCTACAGACAAACTGAAGCCCCAAGATATTATGTTACTCTTACAGTCATCACATACTAGCCCAACTAAGTCTAAGATCTCAGGTTTTTCACTCTTGGCCAGAGCTTTTTATATCCTACTATTTTGTCTTTCTGCTATATTTACTTTTTCCCTAGTGCTTGCCATTTACAGTTTGTTATTGCTCTGGGTGTCATTGGCTGGTCTTCTGGGTTAGGAGTGATATATCGAGGGCTAAGACCTGAGGTAGTGATAGAGAACTGTACACAACTTCAGTCATACTGTGGACTTAGGGGGTGGAAATAGCCAGAGGATTGTCCGAGGTGGGGCTCTCTGTCTAGTTTACTCATTACTGCCTTGTTAATGTTACTTTCATAGTACTTGGCTTCTGCTTTTGATGCTCAGTGGGAGACATATCTCAACCACACACAGCATTAGTCTGAAAAAGAAAAGTTACTAAGGAAGAAGACCAGTGGTCTCGGGCCCAGTACTGCCCCATCAGAAGTGTGGAATGTCTCAGTTCTTATTTCCTGTGATTGGTCTTCAGGCATAATTTCCAGAATATAGGTTCCTTTGAAATGCTATTTTAGCTCAGGGGAATGAATGAAATGTTCTTTTACCAGAAAATTCAGCAGTGGCCTTCCTCCTTATGCAGCTTAAGACAGTCAGAGCTCTCGCATAGGCATGGCAGTAGCTAAAACTTGCTCTTTCCAGTGTGAGTATTGGATCCCACAGGAGCACTACACAGGTAAACATAATTAAAACTTTGTTTATGATGTCCATTTTTTTCTCAAAAACTCTCTCTGACTCCTCATTATTCAGAGGGTGCATATAAGATAAATGTGAATGCTTTTTCTCCAAGCAAAATATTCTCAGTAGTGAATAGAAATTCTTGTTTTCCCATGTTACCTTAAACCAGGAGAAGAAGAAAGCCCTTTCTTTACTAAATATTGCACTTTTTTAAGACTCAGCTTCTATAACTGTCTCTCTCACCACTCTAACCTGTCATAAATAAAACTCTTTTTAGTCTGACTTTAATAGCTGTTATTACTCATACTGATCATTTTGTGTTTAATTATATACAGTATTATGACGATATTTATCTTATACTGTTGTTTTTGTTATCTACCACTAGGTCATAAACTTCATGAGGGCAGGGGACCTTCTTTTTTAACATTATTTAATGGAAAATTCCTAAAACTCCTTAGGTGGAGAGGAAATGGTATAATAAACTTTCACATACTCATCATCCATCTTCTTCAAAGTGATCTGTAACCAATCTTTTTTTATTGATAGCCCCTCACCTACCTTATACCCTTGATTATTTTGAAACAAATGTCAGGGACTGTGTTTTAATCTTGGTGTTCTCACAAAATATTTCAGAACATCCAGCTCAGGAATCAAATTCAGGAGGAGGAAGTTATTAGGGAATTAGCTATTATTAAAAACCTTATATTCTATACCCAGAAAAGTAAAAATCCTGTTGCATTTGTGTTTATTTCACGTGCTTCTACAGGATGAGCAATTTTCAAGAATATAGAACCTGCATTGTTATACATTATAACTTTTTTAAAAATTAAATTCTATTTCCCCTGACACTGACTTCTTTTTGTTTCAGCCCTCTGCCACAGGCTGGAGTTATAAGGGGAAAACCTGTAATTCTTTGAATTTGGCCCTTGGTGAGCTTGTAGAGAAATGAGAAGTCTCTAGACCTGAATAGTCTACTCAGTAATTGTGCCATTTGTTTAACAGCATCTTTGATCTTGGTGAATCATAGTCTCTGGGGTCATAAAAAAAAAGGTCAAGATTGAGCACTAACACGTTAGGGGCCACGTAAAACTAAGTTTGCTGGAGAAACTTGGGTCAGCCTCACAATTAAGAGATTTTTGAAATGCTGCTTCATGAGTGGGTGCGTCTGTCTTGTATTTTGTTGAAAGGATGAAGGTATAGAGGCTTCCAGGAGGTTATGCAAAAAAAATTAGGATACAAAATAACTGAGACCCCTGATTTCATGATTGTTTTATGCTAAAAATTTTTCTCAATTTTATTTCTTTATTTGTTTATTTGTTTGTTTATTTATTTATTTATTAGGCAAGGCAACCCTTGGTTGACCTCACAGATTGCAAGGACCTTGTCATTTTACAATCCCTTATTTTATATATTTTACGCGTACAGCACCTGGTCTTTCTAGGTGGTCTCCCATCCAAGTACTAACCAGGCCCGACCCTGCTTAGATTCTGAGATCAGATGGGATTGGGCTTATTCAGAGTGGCATGGGCGTAGAATTTTTCTCAATTTTAAAAGTAGAAGCTTGTTGCTATCATCTGTGATTAGTCCAATCAAATAATTTCTTCTGTGTACAAATTAGAAGCAAGTAAAGATCTGGCTGGGTGGAAGAGTGTAACTTTGAGAAGTCTTTAGATGTTGAGATGCACTGAGGAATACTTTTCATATCTTCACATATTCCTAACCTCAATCTGGGAATAGGCTCACCACCTCTGATGCTTTCCAAAGATCACTGTGGGTTCTCTTCCTCCAAGTCCTAAGAGACAAATTCACAATCATTAAGTTATAGAGTTTTGTTTACAGGTCTAAAGTGTTTTCTTGGTAATGGCTTTCAGTCCACTGTATTACAGTTCAGTGACCATATATTATGGGCCTGTTTGCAAGGATTGTGCTAGGGATTGTTGGGGATAATGAGGTGAATATGTTTTCACACTCTAAGAGAGAATCAGATAGCATCACAAAGCTGGAGTACTTTAAGAGCCTCAGTAAAGATCCACATGAAGATTTATGGGCCTTTAAGAGGGTGAAGAATGATATTACATTTGATTACAGCTATCAGGGAGATCTTCATGGAAGAGGAAACTTGAGTTGAACGTGGAATGTTATAGAATTTGGATAGGCAGATGCAGAGACATGGAAAGTAACAGTTCAAATTTTGATAACCTCTACAACATTCTCAGCTTAGGAGTTTGGCACTTGATAAATCTGGATAAATATGCATTAGTGAGTATAATTCCAGTTCCAGTTCCAGCACGTGAGGCTTTCCTCCACACCACCAAGCATTTCTTCAGCACCAGCTCGGTGTTCCACAATTAGATTAGTACCTAATCTGATACTATCCACCTGGAGATAGCATCAGATTCCACAGGTTGAGGGTTTTCAGTCCTACAAGACTGCCCCCTCCATCCCCTTCAGATGCCAGTGGCAAGTCCTAGTTGTCACCTGTGTGCTTCTGATCAACAGTTTGTAGATCAGAGGTTCCAATGCCCCCCTCCTTGGGTTTGGTAGTTCACAGAACTCAAACATCACATTACTAGATTACCGGTTTATCGTAAAAGGATATAACTCAGGAATAGCCAGGTGGAAGGGATGCATAGGGCAAAGGGTGAGCAAAGAGCATAGTGCGCCATGCTCTCTCTGAGAGGGCCACTCTCCCAACACCTCAACATGTTCACCAACCTGGAAGTCCTCTGAACACCATCTTTTTGGGTTTATATGGAAGCCTAATTACTTAGGCATGATTGATTACATCATTTGCTCTTGGTAATTGAACTCAATCTGTAAGGGGGGCAGGGTGAGGCTGAAAGTTCCAACCCTCTAAACACGTGATTTGTTCCCCTGGCAACCGGCTCCTATCTTCAGGTGACCTCATTAACATAACAGACACCTGTACTGATCTCTTCACTTAGGAAATCCAAGAGTTTTAGGAACTCTGTGCCAGGAAGAGGGTCAAATATATTATTACAAATCACAATATCAGCAGATACCAAAGGTAGATCATCTTTTTGTAAGACCAGTGTTCAGGGAGGTAGTTATTTTGGTCTCAAATATGTCCCCATCCTTTTGTTTTTGCCCCCGGCTTTCAACCTGTCTCATCCATCTTATTAAATGTTTTTGTTCAATGGTTGGTTTACAGCTTTGAAACTCAGAGGAACGGACTGGTGTTTATCTATGACATGTGTGGTTCTAATTATGCCAACTTTGAACTGGATCTTGGCAAGAAAGTCCTGAACCTGCTGAAGGTAAGGCTGTGAGAAGGCCTTCTCAACTCTCCTTCAATGGTTAGGATACTTTATTCTTTAGGAGATATAGGAATAATGTAAATTATGGACATTTATGTTCTGTTTCAAGGTCACCTGTTGTTGATGGCTAATGTCTACTTCCCCAGAATAAGAAATGGTCTTAAAAGTAGAAAAATTAAAATAAGAAATTCATAGGAATATTCTGAATCGTAAAGATGGGATGTCCTTTTCCTGGAGTTATGTAGAATGAGAATTAATGAGGGCCTAGATATGGCTAGTGTTCGTAAAAAATGTCACCTAGCTAATGGCTTTCAGACTTTTTTTTTAACTCATTCTGGTCAGAAATATGCTTTACATTTCAACTTAGTTAACTTAGTAAACTTACAGATATACATAGAGTTATGTATATATACAAGGTTCTTAATCTCTTATCCAAAGCTCTTAGGTCCAGTGATATTTTTTAGTATTTTGAACTTTAAAAGATAATACGGTATGTATGGCACTCTATAATCCAACACATTTAATGTTTCTGCAGTGAAACGTATCATTCATAATGAGTGGAGAAGAATAAAGGTTAGAAATAGCTTAGGACTTTTCAGGTTAAAGTTTGCTGCCCCGTGAATTTTTGCACCAAACTTACAGTAGAAACTTGAGGTTTTCAGAGTTGCTTAGATTTCAGAATCCGTGGATAGGGGTATGTATATCTGTGTGTACATATTTATAAAACAAAAATGTTTCACAAAATAAGCTTTCCTCTTAGTATGTGCAATAACTTTAATTATTCTCTTTTATTTCATATTTTTTAAATGTTAGTCATGACCTATTAAATTAATTTCAGGACTTACTGAGTGACAGCCTACAGTTTGAAAAACATTCATTTAGGAGTCTGTGCAGTCTTTGTTCTAAGACCTCACTTGGGAGTACTATGGAATTAGATTTCCAGAGGTGTGTTTATTATTACAGCTTCACAACAGAAAAAATATAAAGAGGGTATTATACTGCCTGATGTTTTCTAGGACTTGGATTTTTCACTAATATATTACTAAAATTCCTCTTGTGGCATATAATGTGAATCATTCCTTTTTATTGATGGTAGAATAATTGTTACCTTTTAATTCCTCATCCATTGAATGTACCAGTTTATTCATCCACTGTTTTATTGATGGCTCCTTGTGTTGTTTCCTGACTTTTGCTATTACAAACAATGCTGCTATGAATATTCTTATACTTGTCTTCAGTGCATGTGTTCAATAGTATCTCTAGGGCAGTGTTTCTCGACCATTTTTTCATTATTGCCTCACTAATGAGTCTTTTTTAGACATCCTCTCTCCTCCCAGTTGTTCTTCTAAAGAAATTCTAATACCACAGATATACTGTATATATCATTATATACTGGATGGATATCTGTGTTTTATATATAAAAAGAGTATGATTTTTTTTTTCCCCATTCCCCACTCTCTTCAAAACTAATTTCACCCCCTTGGGGGTGTTATCTTCCGCATTGAGAATGCATGCTCTAGAGTATACATGTACAAGTAGAATTACTGGGTCATAAGGTCTATGAAGATTCAACTTCATAAAATAGTGTCATAAAATTATTTTCCAAAGCAGTTGTATTCACCTGCCATGTGTAAAATTTCCTTTGATCCACATCTTAATGTCAGACTTCTTAATTTTTTCCTAATCAAGTGGGTATACAATGGTATCTTGTGGTATGACTTGCATTTCTCTTGTTGTTGAGATTATCTTTTCATATATATTATTGGCCATATGCTTTCTTCTTCTGCAAAATGCCTATTTATGGCCTTTACTCATTTTCTTTTTGATTTGTCTGTTTATATAGTTTTTCATATATTATTGATACTAGTTCACTTATATATGTATTAATATGTACTGTCTTAGTTTATGTCTTGTTTTTTCATTTTTTATAAAGTCCTTTTGACTAACAGAGGTTCTTAATTTTAATATGGTTAAATGTATCTTTCTTTTCTGGTTAATGTGTTTACATCTTATATCCTTCTTTATTCCAAAGTCAGAAAAAAATATATTAAGTATTTTTTTACTGTATTACCACTGATTCTATGTGTATTAATTTTTTTTAGTTGACTTTTTTCCCTGTGGTAAAATATACATAACAAAATTTACCATTTTAACCATTTTTAAATGTGCAATTCAGTGGCGTTAAATACATTCACAACATAACCATCACCACTATCCATTTTCAAACCTATTTTGTCATCCTAAACGGAAACTCTACCCTTAAACAGTATTTCCGCATACCCTCCTCCCCCAGCCTATTCTAGGTCCTCATTTAAGTGGAATCATACAATATTTGTCCTTTGGTGTTTGTTTTATTTTACTTAGCATAATGTTTTCAATATTCATCTATATTGTAGCATTTAAATTTCATTCTTTTTTAAGGCTGAATAATATTCTATTGTATATATATACAACATTTTGTTTAGGCATCTGTTGATGGATATTTGGGTTGTTTCCACCTTTTGGCTGTTGTTAACAGTGCTGCTATGAACATTGTATACAGGCATCTGTTTACTTGCTTTCAGTTCTTTTGCATATGTATTAGAAGTGGAATTGTTGGATTTGGTAATTCTACATTTAACTTTCTGAGGAGCTATTTTCTTTTATAAGTTTAAAATTTTGTTTTCCTTGTTTAAAACCTTAATCCATCTGGATTTGACTTTCAAGTATGGTATGAGATATAG